AGGGAGGCAGTAAAAATAGAAACTACAACTTAGCTACAACTGCCATAAGGCAGCAAGGCAACTGGAAAACAGAAAACATGTTTATGTGTCCTTCGTTCAGGTGCTTATGAAAAAATCAGTGAAATAATACTTTTCATTGTTTAGCTGCTTTGGCCTTCCATTTCATTCTACAAAAAGCAACACATAATACAAGAATTATTATTATCCCTACCTATTGCTACTCCTGTCTGACATGCACAAAATCCACCAATAGGGAGGGACTTTAATGCCACCGGCAGTGAAAGCATATATGACATAACAGTGATGGCTCTGTAAGCTTCAGGGTGTGTGAGGTGACGTAACCGCTGCTGCTTCTGAGAGCTACAGGGTGAACATTGCTACAATACCAGCCTTCTAATGATGTATAGAACACATGCAGAGGGCATGAGCTTCAGTGTGTGTGTGTGTGTGTGTGTGTGTGTGTTAGAGTCAGCAGGATGGGTTATGACAGCACATGTGGTAATGCTTCTGTTGTGAGCTGCCTGTAGCACAGAGGGGAGTGGATGAGTTTTGCACATGGATGAAACTGTCGCCAGTTCAGAGGCTGTGACTGGGAAATTGGATTTCAACCTAGTTATACATTGTATGGAAGGTAAAATAAGAATATCTAATAGTTGGAGCCCATGATTCATAAACCAAATTGATTTGCCTGATTATGATGAATTTTTGTTTTTGTGCTGTATTATGCCATGTTCAGACAACACAATATCATAGTCCAACACGGCTGTCGCACGGTGTCGGCTTGGTTTATGACGGTAAATGATTATCATGTGCGATAATCCATGGTTTTATCTCGTGTGTGTCATAGTAGACGACAACCCACGCAACATCTGGGACACCTCACGACATCCCAACAGAACGTCTAGCATGTTTGATTTTCTTTTTGTCTACCACGACTTCTGCCATCACAGCCGTCACTTTGACCAATAAAAATACAGAGTGATCTGCCGTTGACAACTGTATGGCAGCGACACCCCCGCCTTTTAGATATTTCCTCTAAGGATGTTACCATGACGGAAAAAATTATGACGTGAAATAGCAGAGGCATTTTAGCGACCCGGTGAGTACTGCCATCAGCATCAGGCTAGCAAAAAATGTTATTTCTTCATAATACAGAGGGATATAAAATAATAAAATTCACAGATAGTGGCAGGGCCTTTGCTCACCGCGATTGCAGAGGGTACCATCTTCATTTGAAACAGACTACATCAGAAACAGGCCTTTATTTCTCATTCCCTCTGTATTTTTCTATTTTTACTTTTAACCAGCCCCCATTTGCCCCATTAAAGTTAATGCATCGCGCCGTCATTTCAAACTCAACCTGTATCCATTTAAAATTTAAAGCCCCTAATAATTTCAGTTGATAGAATACCTTCATTTTCTAAATAGGCTTTTATTGTGAAATATTTGCAGGAACTTGTGAAGGATTCAGTGACGGTGCTTGAAATGTAGCTCCTGCAATCTGGTGGCACTTTTTACGTTCTACAAAGTCAGTTCGGCTGGGACATGAATAGCCATAGCGACTGAAATAATAATAATAATAATAATAATAATAATAATAACAATAATAATAGGACAAGAAAAATCCAATGACATCACACACGTCGTCAAAGACAACCAGGGAAGACTGGTCGCGGACCAACGTGTAGTCTGCCACGTCTGTCGTCCAAGTGACGGCAAGATTTTATGACTCCACAATCGCCTGATCTGACATAGTGACTGTTGGGACAGACAAAACTTTTCTGCAGTCTGAACCCGGCATTAGACTAACAAATCTCACTTATTAACTTATAGTCCAAGTAAAATGTTAATTATTGCTTTTTTATTACTATTATTAACTTCTAATTGTTGTTACCCTTCAAAGTTTTTACCATCTAATTATTATTACTCTTCAGAGTTTTTACCTTCTAAAAGCCTTTTGCACTGGAAATAAAGCACAATAGATCACTTTTAGAGCAAAGGAAAGAAAAATGCCATTAGAACCACATGCTCTCAGCTCATATGGTCATGCAATCATATATACTTTTGCATGTTTACCACACCCCTACAAAAATGCACCCATACACACACTCACATGCTCAAAGCCAATAGCCTATACTGTAACTCAAAAACATAAATGTACTGCATCTTGGAGGTATGATATGATCTATCAAATTTGAAGTGCACGTGCGTGTGTGTGAGTGGTTGGGTGGGTGAAGTATGTGTGAGAGAGAGACAGGGAGCAGGGAATTGTGACCTGAAGTACAACATAATTTCTCTCTCTCTAGCTACAAGCAGATACACACAAACAAATACACCAATCTCCAACATCAATATCAACAGATACGTATTAATTTAGGTGCATCCATCTGCTACACTGGCCTGTAGTGCTCCATAATACAGCAGCATTGCCCCTAGTGGATAACAGGAAAACTGCATGTATTTGCCTCATGGGGCAAACATGAGAAAATGGCTCAATCTGGTGGAAAATAGTACAAACTACAATTTTAAAGTTGGGCCGTAACGGTACATGTATTTGTGTCGAACCATTCGGTACGCGACTTTCAGTTCGGCACGACCCTGTACCAAACTATTGGGCGCAGGATATTATTTTATTTTATTTTGTTTTATTTTAATTCCGTTTTTGCCCACCCGCAAACCTTAAGTCCTCCGTTTGGGAACACTTTGGTTTCAGGGTAAAATACGAAGATGGAAATAAACAAGTTGACAAGACAAAAGCAGTGTGCTGACACTGCAGAACAGTGGTTGGGTATGTACTTGGAAACACGTCTAACATGCTAACGCATCTAAAGCGACACCACCCGAGTTTGAACGTTAACCGGCATGACTAGAAAAAGCAATCTGGTGCAAATTACGATATCGTCGTCGTTTAAACCATCGCGCTAAAGAAATAACCAACGCCATTGGAGTTGAGTAAAACTGTTTAAGCTGCACTTTAGATATTAGCATGTTTTGTTTACTGCACTTTAACAAAGTGGGAAAGCTTATTATGTTCCTAGTAAAACTGAATCTGAGCAGGCTTTAAAGCTGACCAGCTGCACTATACTTTTTATTTTAATTGAGTAAAACTGTTTAAGCAGAAATTTATATTTATATTTTTCATTCAAAAAATGTGTTAAAAAAACAGCAGGATTTTATTTTTAACTTCTATATTTCTATTTTCATTCAAACAATGTGAAAAAGCAGGATTTTATATATATTTGTTTCATTCAAAAATTGTGTAAAAAGAGTTAACTGCTGTGGTGGTATGTTTTAATAAGGTTACCAATAAGTAAAAGATATTTAATAGTTGTCTATTTTTTTCATTACTGTACCGAAAAAAAACGAACCGTGACTTGTGTACCGAGGTATGTACCAAACTGTGATTTTTGTGTACCGTTACACCCCTATTTTAAAGCCATGGGCTCTAGATTGAAAGTCTGATGTAATACAATACATGAATTTATACCAGGGGTCATTGACTACACACACACACACACACACACACACACACACACACACACATCCAAGGGTATAGGTTTTGTTTCAGCTTAGGGGAATGCACATACACACAAATTTTAAGTGTCAAACACTTAATTTCCTGCTTCCTGATTTTTTTCATGCCCCAGTTTGTGTCTTTTTGGCACAATAAAAAAAAAATGAGAGTGATCAAAGCTTATGTTCACCTTTGTTGTCCTTGTTTAAACTGTGTGTTTATTTCTGTGCATGTACACTGGGAGCACAAAACCAGAGTCAGATTCTATGCATGTGTACGACATACCATTGAGGTTGATTCCGATTCTGATCTCCATAAACAGACTCTGTGGGCCCCCAAAATTCCTCAAGCAACTTTTGAACTTTTTTTTAGGTATAGTTTGTTTTCTTTCTTTCTTTCTTTCTTTCTTTCTTTCTGTCTTCTTTCTTACTTTCTTTCTTTCTTACTTTCTTTTTTGGAACCTATTTTCCATTCTTTGTGCTCCAGCAGCACAAGCAGTCACTCACTTAGCTCTAGCTGCGTTTAAAGACAAATTCTAGTGTAGGGGTGGATTTAACCATTTTGCACCATTAAGGGGTGAGAGGGGTCTCAGAGAGCTTCCACTATTTTATAAAAGGTTTAGTCTTTCAACCAATTTATTCAGTCAATTTTAATTAAGTTATGGCACTAATTACTTAGAATTAAATATTGCAAACAAAACCAAACTTCACTTTAGGCTTTTTGAGGGGCCCCTTGCACTGGGGCCCTGGGTAATCAGTCCCACTTTTCCCCCAGTATGAGGCCCCTGCTGATCTCACCAGCTAGCTTTTACCCTCTTGCTTTTTTCTGTGTAGTTAGAGATTCTTTCATTATTAGCTGTAAATAGTTTAAGAGTTGAGTAATTCCAAACATATGGACGGATGTGTGCCAGTGGAAACTGTGGCTTTGAGTGGTGCAGGAGAAAAGATCTACGGGTGACCAACACATTGGTTGTCCTCTGTGGATCATGAATATCCACAGCAAATGTGTGTGTGCTCATGGACCAAAGTGTTTAACATATCTTCATAAAATGGTTAGTATGATATACTATGAATTAGCGCCCCACGAATGGATGTTACATCCTTAATGTAAAGATACATAATTAATGTAAAGTTATGGGAATTAGGTTTAGGCAATGAAAGTTACTGTGGTTAGGTTCAGGAAAAGAAGCATGTACCTTAAAATGACTCAAAATTCATGTGGTTCCAAACACGCATCTCCAGGGAAAAGTCCTGCGTTTTGTGACCAAACCACCACCCCAACCTGCCTACTTACAAGACTGCTCTGGACTGTTTCCTTGCTTACTGCCGTCAGCACATTGGTCATGTGATCGTCTTTCAAAATATGTGGGATTTGGGTCCATTACTTTTCAAAGGAAAGTGAATGAACAGTTTGTGAGAACAGCCTGAAATGTTGAACTGACAAAGAGTAAGCACTTGGTGGAAACCCAGCGCTGACCAAGTCCTACCAGTCTTACAGATGGGGCAGCAGTGGCTGGGTTCATAGGTGGGGTTGACGCAGTGAGGGGCAGGGCAGTCCGAAATGCTGCAGTACACCTCTCTATTGGCCTCGCAGCGACATCGCTCACACCTTGACAGCTGGAACACATCAACAATTTTAATGTCATTGACTTCAAGTTTTCACATCAATTGTGACCATTTGGTGTAATAGAGCAAACAAATGAGAGCAGGCCGAGATGACTGGTAAGCTCCATCTCACCTTTATGTCAGTCAGTGTCAAGCAAACACACAAAGACAGCTGATCTTATAAAACAGGCATGGGTGAATTTATTCAAAGTGGAAAAATTTCATAATACATCTTCAATTAATCATTTCACGTGTGATATACTTCGCAAGATATAAGTACATGAGGTCATGTATTATTATCTAATTCCACGGCAGTGTCTCATGGGGAGCTCCTGTGTCAATTTCTAATTTCTTATTGTAGTAGATATATTGCATATATGGCGCAAAACTGTTTCAATAAAATAACACCACAAACTTACTATGGGTATGGAGCCCTGTGGTTGATTTATGGGCAAAATATAATGAAGCTGCATGTGTGGTTTGCTTTGTGCACCATACCAAAAATACACAATGCACAGAGTAGGAAAGGGGGAAGCCCTTGGGTTAAACCAGCAATGAAAATATGCACATATAGTATTTTCCCAAGCCTATGTAAATATATTGATAATCTCATATTCATGTGACAGAATATCACTTATAACGCCTATAAATTTACTTGTCAATAATATATCCAGGGGTGGAACGTGACAAACTACAATTTTGAGGTACTTGTACTTTATTCGAGTATCTACATTTTATGCTGCTTGACACTTTCACTCCACATTCATCTCACAGCTGTAGTAATAATATTTACTTTTCAGTTCAAGATTTTATAGGCAACATCAGTCACGTGATTTGTTAATAAAATATCACTAGATGAAACTACCCAACTATACAGTTGTAAAAAACATTGCTTTACCTTGACAACATTAAGATTCTGACATTAATCAAGAAAAAAAAATCCAATAATAAATAGAGGGGTCTGATTAATGTAACACTTTCAATGGAGCCATTTTGCATAATGAGTACCTTTACTTTTGATACTCTACAGGGATAGCTCAGATTTTTTCAAGTGTGGTTGTATGAGGTACTTCCATAGTCAGTATATTACATACAGTAGATGTCAGTCAACACACCCCCAGTTTTGATAAGCAGGTTAGAGACCGACATTAATGCCAAGCAATCTACTGCTGTGGAGGGGTCAGCAACAAACCGTATTTCAGCAACCTAAAAAAAGTCCCACCTAAATCAATCAATATCAGTTTAAATGTAGGCTACACTATATTATATATTAGTATTTTCACTCTTTTACCCTTGTGTCAGATAGTAATTTACATCAGGAAAATGAAGCTGTTATATAGCTCTCTTCAAACCCAGACTCCGTTAAGAAAATAGTGATAAATCACTGATGAACCCAATGGAGCCTGGGGGATTCAATAAGAGCATAGATGGGGTGCTGAAGCTATTAGCAGCTTCTCCATTGGAACAGGCTGTTTGACAGAAAGGTAAAGCAGTGAAAATACTCAACATTTTACACTTAAAGTGATAGTGATTTTTTTAAGTGGGATTTTTTGTTTGTTTGCTTGTTTTTTGTGGCTAAAATGCCTTAATTTGGGGGGCCCTCGTCCACAGCAGTAGGGTTAGTGTTAGGGTTAGGGTTAGATACAGCCTACATTATTTAGCTTCCGTGTCAGACTCCAACCTGTTTCCCCAAACTGGGGGTTGGCTGACTGACATCTTGTAGAATTTAGAGTTACTGCTGCTGCTGTTACTAATATCAAAGTAGAGTACTTTTTCCACCCTTGATAATCTCATGCATACAAAAAAGTAAAACAAAAAACAGGAACAAGGAACTACATGTAAAAAAGCACTAATTCATGATGTGATGTGTATAAATCTTAAATAACGCACTATCACTTACAAGCTGTCGCATTAAATAGCTGGAGCTGTGCGAACTATGACTGGGACAAGGGAGGAGGGAGAGAGGAAGGAGAGGTGTAGAAGTTTGGATATGTCTTACCCTGAACTCCTCCAGGAGCCGGTACGTTTTGCCCCCGTAGACACAGACCCTGGCCACAGCCTCGCACACCGGACAACATGCCCTGTATCTGATCCGCGTGCACCGGGGGTGGATGCGTGGACACTTGGGTCGGACGCACACGGGACCGTCCACGGTGCACGTGCACGGACACGCCGTGGTGCTCGGGTAATAAACCTCTCCGATTCCGTAAACAAACCCGTGGTCGTCGATGCACCACTTTCCCCGGTAGTCCCCAAACTCGTAGTCCAAGTCGGTTTTGGAGGAGTATTCCGCCGCCACCGCGAGCTCCGCTGTGCGTCTCGGACCGTGAGCTGGGAACAGAAACAGCAGCAGGGCGATGGAGAGGCAGCGCGAACGGTGCCGGTGGCTCATGGTGAACAGGTTACCTGCACCGACACCGACATTAACCATCTGTGTGTGTGTTGCGCTGCTGCGCCTGCTTCTTCCATCGTCAGGGGCGCCGGTGACGCCGGTACATGCGCAACAGTCCGGACTGTCACTGAAATGCAGCCCAGGAATTCATTCATACACGCGGCGTCGCGTGGTGGGGGGGGGGGGGGGGGGGGGGGGGGGGGGGGGGTGGGGGTTACTGCCTTAATTATATTAAATTAATTATATTAAAATTGGCTCAGTAAATCAGTTGAAAGACTGATTTTTGTATAAACAGTCGTGGAAACTCTCTGAGGCCCCTTTCAACCCCTTAAAGGTGAAACGTGGTTTAGTCTTCCCCAGTGGGATTCATCTGTAACTACAGGTGTGTGTGTGACTGCTCATGCTACTGGAGCATCAATGTAACTGTCATGTCTTTGGCTAAGAAAAGGAAATCAAGGTTCCAAAAACGAAAATAAATAAACTAGTCCATACCCATTGAGTGCACAGTTGCCCATGTACAGTTTCACATGGTGTGTGTTTGGGATACAGGTCATAGGAAATTGCAGATTTAATAGTCAACTGAACCCATTAAGAAGAGCAATGTATTCAGACAGAGTTTTTGTGAATTTGATAGCACGATTGCTTTATTGAAAGTACAGTAGTACCATTGCCAATAGTGGGATAGTTAGTGGGTTAAAACTGTACATTAGTAGTTGAGGTAGCATGTTGAAAGGCAGATAGTTAAAGTGTTTATGTTGTATTGACTTAAAAGTGGGGCGCACTGGTAGTTCACATGGGAAAGGTGCGGCTAGCCGTTGTTGCAGCGGTGGGAGTTGGAATCCAGCCTTCGTTCTCTGCTGCATGTCTTCCTTGCTCTCTCTCCCATCCTTCCTGTCATGTTTCACTGTCCTGTCAAATATAGGCAAAAAATGCTACTACATATCTACCAAGTTTAATAAAAATTGATATGGGGGTTAGGCCTAGATAAGAAATTAGCTCTCTAGCGCCCCCATTTTGTTTGATGGGGTCAATAATGGAGGGTTCCCCTCAGATTATGTGTGGTCTGATTAAAAAAGAGATTAACTCTCTTCTGAGGCGCTGTTCAGAATTCGTCATGCACAAAACAAGGCAAACTTACTGTTTTAACTCCTCAAAACCCAGTCATACTAGCAATGAAACTTCGGATGGATGAGCACTTTGCTGATATTTTTTGCATTAAAGACAAAGATGGCATTATACATTGTGACCCAAAAAAAGGAAATGCTTCTTTTGCCTCCTTTTATCGGGAGTTATATAATTCAGAAAGTAATTTTGACAAACATGTCTGCAATAATTTCTCAAATAACATTAAAGGTGCTGTATGTAAGAATGTGGCCAAATGTACTGGGGACACTGCTAATGCTGCTTGCCGTGCTGCTGTAGCTCAGTCGTAACTGTAACTGATGCTGAGACTCTACCGACTGTGTGACTGGTAGACGGCGGTGGGTGGCCCAACAGGCCAAAACACAAATTCAAAACATAAACATGATTTGCAGACTGCAAAAAAATTTTTTAGATGCAAATTTTCTGCCTGTACTATTGTTGTTGGTGAGATCAGTATGTTACATGAACATTATTCCTTAGTCTCTGTGACATATTAGGAGGATTTTACGACTATTTGCTTTAGATTTCTTACATATAGCTCCTTTAAACTATCCCGCCTTAGTAATGATGACTCCGTAAAGCTAGATGGACCCGTCACATTGCAGGAGTGTGAGGCAGGTGTTAGGGACATGCGTAAAGGCAGATCACCAGGGCCGGACGGAATTCCACCTGAATTTTACCTCACCCTTTGGCCCTTGATTGGCCCGTTGATCCAATATTCAATCAGAGTGGGATCATTTTCCAGGGATGTTAATTCGGCATTAATTTCACTGCTTCTTGAAAAATGAAAGGATCCGGTTGAGTGCTCCAGCTACAGGCCTCTTTCGCTTTTAAAAGATTCACGCGAAATTACTGGCCCAGCGGCTTCAAGGCCATATGACAGAATTGGTTCGTAGTGACCAGACAGGGTTTATAAAGTCTAGACTGGCTACAGATAATGTTAGAAGATTACTACATGTTATAGATGGTGCTCAGAGCTTAAGTTTCCCTGCTGCTGTCCTTTCACTAGATGCAATGAAGGCATTTGACCGCCTGGAGTGGCCCTTTCTGTGGTCAGTGTTTGAGTTTATGGGGTTCGGCATCCTGTTCATCAGTGATTAAGGTGCTGTATAATAACCCAACAGCTGTGGTGGTTACAGGCAAAACTAGCTCTCCTCCTTTGCTATCTCTAGAAGATCAAGACAAGGCTGTCCTCTCAGCCTTCTGTTATTCGCCCACAATCTCTCCAATTTCCATTAGAGGAACACACCATCACATCTCACTGTATGCTGATGACGTTTTATTGTATATAAACAACCCAGTGCAATGTATCCCACATGTTTTGTCAACCTTTGAACATTACAGCAAGCTTTCCGATTTCAAAATAAATTGGCAGAAATCAGATTTGCTACCTTTAAATCAGGCCATGTGTAATGCTCCCATCCCTGCATCTATTCCAGTCACTAAAAACTTTGTTTATCTGGGGATAGATGTCTCTTCCTCCATACAGACAATAATTAAAAACAATTTTTGTAACACACTTAACAAAGTCATGGCGGATCTGGACAGGTGGTCTAATCTGCCAAATTCACTTCGTGGCAGGGTAGCCATAATTACAATGAATATTCTGCCCAGAATCAATTCTGTTAGTTCAATGCTCCCCCTTCCCCCACCCCCTCAATATTGGAGCAAATTACAGTCAGCAATAAATAAATTTCTTTGGCATGGCAAACAACCTCGCATTAAGCTCACCACAATGCAGCGAGAAAGGCAGGCCAGCAGCCTGTCTCTCCCAAACTTCAAGTTTTATAAGTGGGCCTTCACACTTAGACCTCTCCTAACTTGGTTACACTCTGATGCTCAAGTGTCATGGCGAGCTTTGGAGGAGCGGATGATAGCTCCATACTCTTTTACTAACATTCTGCATTCTAATATCTCACTCCATCACTGCCGTTTGAGATTTGGTCCTATGATTTAATATTTGCTATTGATATGGAGGAGGGTGGAGAAATTAGCTGGTTGCTCCTCTGTTTGGGGCCCACACTCTCCAATATTTAACAATGAGAGTTTGTTGATTGGTGGTCATCCTATTTGTTTTCCTGATTGGGAAAAAAAAAAACATTTGCACACTTGGTGATATTTATGGGGAGGGAGGGTTACTTACTTTTTAGAACATATGTATTAAGCATGGTATACCACGTACCTCCTTTTTCTTTTATTTGCAGCTGAGGTCAACTTTAAAAGACAATGGTGTCCCTTTACAGGGCCCTCTCACACCACATCCACTTCCTAAATTGTGAATGGGGCAACTTCCCACGTGCACATACACTTACACAACATGGCAATTGGTTAGCTTGTCAATGTGACATCAATGTGCACGTTTTAGCAGTGTAAATGTAATTAAGTAATTAATAAGCCTACCTTTATCGGCTGCAGCTGAGATGATGTCTGTTTGAGGTGGATGCATTACATGCATAGTGTAACTCTGCTGCTCGGCTACAGCTGATGTTTGAGGTGGATGCATATATTAACGCGCGTGCACAGTTTAACTCCGCTGCTCGGCTACAGCTGATGTCCGTTTGAGGTGGATACATATATCAACTAACTTGTGGAGTGAATGCGACTTTGTAAAAGAATATACTAATAATAGTGTAATTTTTGGAAAAAGTAGCTTTGTCACCTTCTACCTATGCCAATCTTCAATGCCAATGTGCAGTTTCACATAGATTGACCACGTCAGTGAGTAGAAAAACATGGAACAGACACACCCACAGACAGACAGAGTTCGTCATTATATAGTAAGGTAAAGAGAGAAAATGAAAATAAATCAGCTGACGATGTTAGAAAAAATCAAAAGCAGCATAAGAGAGACATGGATCAAAAGAGAAAAGGCAGGGGGCCCACAGAGACTGCCTATAGGACCCAGAATTTGGTGCTACACCCCTGAATAAGACAGAAATATCAGACTGCAACAGTGGAGTTAAAAAGGAGTCTCACCAGCCTGAAATAAAATGATCACAAAAGGGCTTAAAAAGATATCAACAAAGCTGCAAGTAGTGATAACCAGGCCCTGCACCTTCGCTCATGGCAACTATGCAGCAGGGACTAAGTAGAGAGAACTTATACTGGTGATATTGTAAAAGAGGGGATACTATTTGTTGTGATCTAGGCACCAGTGGTACACTGCGGCACCATTTGTTGTGACTTAAGCCGTAAATATGGCACTATGAGCTCTCTAAGATATGACGGAGCCTGACCATTTAGAGCTTTATAAGTTAACAGTAGGATTTTAGATTCAATTCTGCATTTTACAGGGAGCCAGTGCAGAGAAGCTAAAACAAGAGAAATATGATCTCAAAGATCATTTGTAATTTGTACTAGTGCTGTCTCAGTGCTATGATGCACTCTAAATCCTGATTGAAATTCCTTAAATAAATCATTATCATGGAGAAAGTCACACAGCTGGTCTGCAACTACTTTTTTGAGGATTTTTGAAAGAAGGGGAAGATTAGATATTGGTCTATAGTTGGCTAACACCTCTGGATCCAGGGTGAATCCAAGATGAATTTAATGATTGAATTGTGGAGAATCTAACAGAGCTAAAGATGTGCAGCATGTCCTTATTGACAAATGTTTCAACATTTATATATGTGATGGTCGATCTAAGCAGCTGTAATGTTCATGATTTATAACATGTGATGTTATGATGTTATAGTTGTTCCACGTGTGATGTGTCTTAGGTTGTAAACAGACACTGTTTTATTCAGTCCACAAGGGGGCATTTTAGTTTCACTGTTGGGTTCATAGACACAATGGGGACTGCAGAAGCAGCGAGGAATCGGAATCAAGATGGCGGCGATAACAGAAATGTAAACAATTGCAACGGAGATTTATAAGTTCACTAAAGAGACTAAAAGCTACTTTGCTGTGTCAGAGTTTTATTCCAG